AATTACTTTGAAGACCTGATGGAGTATATATATATATATATATATATATATATATATATATATATATATATGAAACCTGTATCAATGAAAGTCTACTGCCGACTCCACCTATATATAATTATTGTTCGATTACGCGCAAATTCCTTTGGGAAAACATATGAATTCACTGACTCTCCCCCAGCTATGGGTTAATTAGTAAGACTTGTATCATCTAATCATTATTGTTTGCAAAATATTTCTTACAATCTGAAAAAAATATTTTCTGGCGTTAAATAACTTACAAAGGGTTGATAAGCCGTAAAAAACAAATCAATCAATCAATAATATTACTTGAATTACTTAAGCTTGATCTCAAGTCGCTTTCTATTTATAGAATTTCTATTATTATTAATTAAAAACAAGTAAAGCAATGGAGACTACTCTAGCCAAATTCCAACCACACTTAAAATTTAAAGGTATTTTAAAATATACACGTACTAATCCCTATTACTTAAGAGTCACGTGTTAAAATGTTTTTAAACATAAATACAATTTACAAAAGAAAAAAGATGAAAGTTTTATGGGACACCAGGAATCTCTTCTCGCCACTGTCAAACGGTGAAAAATGGCGTGGTTTTGACACATTACAAGACCATCATGCGTTGTTGAATGTGGACTTAGGAGGGGACGCCAACGCAAAAACTGGTTGGACAATGTCAAACTATAGGCAGGTATGACGGTACAAGAATTACTGATGGCTGCCGTTGGTAGACCATTGTGGAATAGAGTTAGTGTGGCTTCTGCATTTGGATCCGCCCTATGATTACAAAAGTTAAGTGGATGATGACGATCACAATTTGCAAACATTATGTTATCTAATAGATATTTCTAATGAAAGCAGAAAAAAATCAGGTAATAATTAATAATTGTTCCATGAAATAATTAAACCCTTAATAAAAGGCACTCTTATTTTGTAAAATAAATATTCGTAGATAAAAATATATATAATAAACTATATTTAACAAAATAAAAATGTAATTCCACACGTAATATTATTTCATGCTTCCAAATTGTAATCTCTTTTTTTCTTTTCCTCTTTCAGCTTTAGAATGATTTTCTTTCTCCCCCTTTATTAAGAAGGATAGACAAATAATCATGAAATATTGGTTCATTATAATGTGGGAATACATCACTAAATTATTAATATTAATTTGAAAACTGAAGTAAAAAATTCTACTGTTTCAAGCTGTAGCATTTTAACAGTATTTTCCTAACAAGAATTTTGCTACGATGTGCCGATTTTGCGGTACACTAATAATAAACCTCCCCTAACAGATATTGAATCGTGATAATATAGATTCACGAAAAACAATAATGTTTATATTTATACAATAACAGTTTTTTTTTTGTACATATCTATGCAAAATATTTAAAAATGGAATGGATTTTAAAATATCTCGATTTTGAGTGTTTTTCATTTAATCATTTCATTTCACTTCAAGCAAAGCGATAAAGCCACTAACACGCAAGGGCTTACTGCGTGAGAAAGAAGCCGAGAAAAATATTAGGGGGGGAGAGGAAAATAAAAGAAGAGGAATTAAGGAGGCGAATTGATGATTGACAGTGCATTTAAATTTTTGATGCACAAAGTTTATTGGAAAAAATTCAATTCGATTGTCGATAATATTCTCAGCATTCGTCGAAAGAACCACATTTTGGTCGCTTCAAGTTTCTTCATCATTTGTGATGAAAATGTACAGCATTCTCTATCATGTAGAAGGGTAAAAGTTGTGTAATTATTCTTTTCCAATCTTACTTTTAGAATCTTTAAATCAGCGATTCGTCATCGTCTAAATTTCTTCTTTACTGAACGCGTCCTCTATGGTGATGGATTTTTTTCTTTCCTCTTTTAATATTAAAACGTTTTCTTTTTTTCTTTTCTATCTCTTCTTTCTTTTTTTTCTTCTTTTCCTTCTCCTTGCATCTGAATCAGTTGAACTTCGTTTCTTTATGCAAAACTGGTCGGAAGACATTGACGTTTCAGGCCCGCCAAATAAATTATGATGAATTTTAACAATTCCAATTCATTTATATATATATATATATATATATATATATATATATATATATATATATAACTAATCCTATATTTGGTTATATATATATATATATATATATATATATATATATATATATATATATATATATATATATATATTACTTATTATAAAACGCAGATTGTGTGTGTGTGTGTGTGTCTGTACGTTTATATATTGGATCGGATTTCCTACATTCTTCAACCGATTTCAACGAAACCTCACAGGACTGCGTAAAATTACCTTGCGGTGGTTCTGACAGCGCCAAAAATTGGAAAAACACAATTGTTTTTGCACGAAATCAATTTAAAAAACACGATTCTGTCGCTAGAATGAAAGGGGGACAACTCATATCGAGTTATACTTATTATAAAACCCAGGTTTGTGTGTGTGTGTGAGTGTTCGTTTATATATGGGATCAAATTTCCTACATTTTTCAACCGATTTCAACAAAGCTTCACTTTTTTTTTGGCAGGTAGTGTTTCTTATTGTCTTGCACACTTTTTTCTTTATAATAAAATTCTATTCAATTGATAGACTCATAACGATTAAAAACAATGTTTTTGTTTGAGTAATTCGTAAAAAAAAAAAAAACTAATTAAGACTTGTTTAAGACTTAAACAATAATCTTTGTCAATTTTATTTTTTAGTCTTTATGATGGTCAATACTTGATTTATCTCTTACTGTTACATCCCCGGGCAACGCTGGGCTCTTCTGCTAGTATATATATATACCCAAGTATAGGATTGGTGTATACGGAACAAATTCCAATAACCAACAAATACTATTGTTAAAAGAGTGCTCAACACAGAGTTGAGCAAATATAATTATTTATTCGAAAATTATAACATAAATATGTCATAAAATCACTACAAAAATAGCCATTTTGTTTCAACACCTCTGGTGTCTTATCGAGTAATGATGTTGAATGTAGTATAAAGGGTTTTAAAAAGGTTCAAATCAATTAACTACCACTCGCAAGGGGAAACGCTGTTACGTAAGCTGGAATGACCAATCAAAATACAAGTATACGAGAATTCAAAAAATTTGACAACTAAGTTTATAATAACTATTTAATGCCCTAATGTTGGGGTTAGACTAAAATAGAATTTATTCTAACTAATAAGTATTAAATTATACGATAAAATTTGAAATTAAAATTACCCCTTAAATATATATATATATATATATATATATATATATATATATATATATATATATATGCACACGGTGTAAAAGCAAAAATTGTGCAAATCGTGTATCTCAAAAAAAGCACTTGAACTGAGTGTCTTTTTCCAAGTTTTCAGATAATTCGCTGCCAACGTGCAGGTTCATGACTAGAAGCTACTAGTTTCTCGCAAACCTGCTCACGTCATCGAATCTCTATCGGCGATTGGCTTTGCAAGTGATGGTTGGAGGTGAAACAAATTCAGATTAGAAGAAAATGCCAACGGCGTGAATTTGTTTAAGGTGAACCTCTTGCCAGGAAGTGACCCACCCAATCAATTCCATGACCTTTCTCTGCGGCATATATGGAATGAGACATGCAGAATCCAATTATAAAACTAAAATTGACTTCCGCAGACTTTGTTATAATTTCGAGTCGTCCTCTTCGTCTACTGGTTCAATCCGTTGAGATCTGTTGTAATCCGATGGTTACATGGATGGGGTCTTTGGGGTTTGGTCGCTCTGTGTCTTCGTCTTCGACCTTGCCGCCAAGGGTGGCTGTATCAGGAGTTTAGAACATCGGACGGCATCGCTCTCAGAGTCATTAGACCACAAATCAGCGATTACCAAATAAGGATTTGCTAGGCGACGAGAAGAAAAGGAAGTAATGGTAGCCCAAAATGAGAAAGACCGAAAACAACAAAAAATATTTCAGAGTCGGTTACGACACAATACGTGGATAGTGTAATGGATATTATTGACACTGAAATGGGAATGGGTGTCTTCGGAAACGGGCTTGTCTGTGGCGTAGATTTTCGAACAAAATGCCTTTCTTTCTTTCTTTCTTTCTTTTATTTGCCCCTTTCACTTTTTATATTTTTCCTTCTTTTTTTTTCTCTTTTTGTTCCCACCTTTTTTTGGCTTCCATGATTCTTTCTTTCTTTCCATAGCTCAGTTTTCATTCTTTCTTTCGCTCTTAACATTTTTTCTAATTTCTTTCGTTCTTCCTTCTCTTTTCTTTTTTGCTTCCTTCTTTGCATGTCTTTCCTCCTTCTTTCCTATTTAATTATTTCTCTTTTCATTCATTCTGTCTTTTTTGCTTCCTATTTATTCGTTATTCTTTCTTTCGTTTTTGCTTCCTTCTCATTTCTTTCTTTCTTTTTTCTTTCTTCTCTTTTCATTCTTTCTTTCTCCTTACATTCTTTTTCTTTCTTTCTTTTTCGTTTCGTCACTTTTCCTTTTTTCTTTCTTTTAACTTTTCATCCTTTTCTTCAATTTTCATTTTTTTCTTCTTTTTGCTTTTTTTCGTTCTTTCTTTCTTCCTTTCAGTCTTTCTTTCTTTCTTTCTTTCTTTCTTTCTTTCTTTCTTTCTTTCTTTCTTTCTTTCTTAAATACTTAAACACTTGACCAGTGTGTAAATACAGCGAAATATCCCTTTTTCAAATCCCAAAATTTATATACGCACATGACAAAGGATACTTTCATTGTTTTCTTCTTTTTGCTTTTTTCAGTTCTTTCTTTCTTTCTTTCTTTCTTTCTTTCTTTCTTTCTTTCTTTCTTCTTATACTTCTCATCAATTTTTATACTTGTCTTCGTTTCTTCTCTTTTCCTATTTTCTTTCTTTTAACTTTTCATCCTTTTCTTCAATTTTCATTTTTTTCTTCTTTTTGCTTTTTTTTCCGTTCTTTCATTCTTTCTTTCTTTCTTTCTTTCTTTCTTTCTTTCTTTCTTTCTTTCTTTCTTTCTTAAATACTTAAGCACTGGATCAGTGTGAACATACACCGAAATATCCTTTTTTCAATCTCCCAAATTTATACACGCAAATGCCAAAGGATACTTTGGCATGTCCATTCATTCATTCATTCTTTCTTTCTTCCTTCCTTCCTTCCTTTCTTTCTTTCTTTCTTTCTTTCTTTCTTTCTTTCTTTCTTTCTTTCTTTTACTTTTCATCTTTTTCGTAACATTTCATTCTTTCCTTGTTTTTGCTTTTTTCTTTTTGTCTTTCTTTCTTTAATACTTAAGAACTTGACCAATTTCAACATACATCGAAATATTCTTTCTTCAAACCCCCAAATTTGTATACGCACATGCCAAAGAATACCATTCAAGACCAGTTTATAAGCTTCACTAAATAGGTAGAAATACACAAACACAAACACTACTGTCCACTCATATCCATGAAGGAAACTCTGGAACGAAACAACACAATAATTCTAAGCAAAGAAATACAAAAATATCCAGCGTTAAAAAAACAGAATTGGAAAAAATAAAATGAAATGAAAAAAAAAAAATGATCAAGCCACTTATATTCAGCCCTCCAAAACCGGCGGGAGATATTTCTGACACATACAAGCGGGCCAGTGAGTTTGGGGATCCACCCCAACCAACCTTCATTGCGCATGTGCATACAAGCAGGAAGTTCGTTCCCCTTTATTTTTCAACTGTCAATTCAGACTCTATATTATGTCAAGATTCTGAAATATATATTACAACGAAAGAATAAAAAATATCGAGTTGGAGAGAGGTGAAAAAACAACAAAAACGAAACAAACGTGCAAAAAATATTGCCGAGAAATAAGAAAGAGTAGCCAACGAGTCGAATTGATGTTAAATAAACCAATATAATAAAGATTGTTTCGAAGAACGAGAAAATGTTTTATTTTGTCACATGATGGAAAATATATAATAAGAGGCGTTGTGCATATTTCTTTGAGTCTGTGAACTTATGCCAGATGAGAGAGGATATTTTCATTACATCATATAATTTGGCATCCGAGCCATTTTTTCCTTCTTTACTATTTGTATATTTCTCTTTCTTTCTTCTTTTTCTAATGTACCTTTCTTTTTCTTCTTCTTTTTCTTATGTACCTTTCTCTTTTCTTTCTTTGTCTATTCTATCTTTCTATATTGCCTTATTTTTCTTTAGTATCTTCCTCTTTCCTTCCTTCTTTTTCTATTGTATCTTTCTTTTTCTTTTGTATTTTTCTCTTTTCTTCCTTCTTTTTCATTTGTATCTATGTAGTCCGTTCTTTTGCTTTCATATCTTTCTCTTTTCTTCCTTGATTTTCTTTTGCACTTTTCTCTTCTTTTCTTTTTTTATATTTCTCCTTTTTCCTTTTTTTCTTTTTCATCTTTCTATTTCTTCTTTTTCTTTTGCATATTTCTCATTTCTTTTTCTTTGCATCGTCCCTCTTTCCTTCCTTCTTTTCCTTTTGTATCTTTCTCCTTTCTTCTTTCTTTTTCTTTTATACCATTTTTCTTTTCTCCCTCCGATTTTTTTTTTGTTTCTCATTTTCTCTCTTTTTTTTATAGCTCTCTCATTTCTCCCTCCTTTCTTTTCCATTTCTTTCTTTTTTCTTACGTTTTGAATCTTTCTTTTGTTCTTTCTTTTTTCATCCGAATATACAATTCTTACCACCCATTCTCTCTTTGTACCTATGTATGTGTCCCGTTAGTGTTATGGTTAACGGACCAGAAAGAAAAATTGGTAATCCGAGTTCGACCGACTTCATTATATTCTCATTTACGCTAATACCATTTGGAAGGTTATTAATCCATCTCTACTCCTATTAAACTGGCCTCTCGAGCCTTAGTTGACAATTTGTTTCGGATAATGAGAACTCTAAATTCTTCACTAGAGGATGGCTATTTGGGGATTTAGCGGCACACTGGACACCATTTATAAGTTCTTTTGAGAAGAGTGGATGTTTCTACACAAGCCTTCACCACTTCTAATCAAATCATATGTGGATCAAATATCGGTTCGTTTCTAAAACTGAACTGATAACAAAATCGATTGAATAGATTATTAATGTAGTTTACTATTGATGCAACAAATGATGTCAGATTTGTTAACTTGTTACTATTCTGGGATGATTTTCATATATGAGTAGTTTACCGTTGATGTAATAAATGATGTCAGATTTTGATACGTTCTTACCATTCTGGGATGTTTATTTTACAATAACGTCATTATTGTATAACAATTTTTATGGAATCATGTCTGATGACATCGTCTTCACAGACTGTTGATCTTTAAGGTATTTAATTCGACGATACCTCTGGTAATCAGTTTTCGCATGCAAATGGGTTAACAAGCAAGAAATTACTGAGGATTTGGGAAACGTCGACTACCTCTACCTGGTTTTGTCAGCCCTTCGTTACGGTTTATTAAGGTGTGACTGCTGTCGCAAGCACTTGGAGCCACAGGTTAGTGAAGCAGGCACAGTGGGTGCCAACATGAATGAATTGCTCTTAATGGAGTATGATTATCCTACAACCCTCTCGATTATACTACTCCCATTGACACCCCAAACTTGCAGAGAAAGGATGGCATCCCTGATGAGATATAGAAAACAGCTAGCACAAATTGTCTTAGGGCTTTTCACGATGTCTGTGCAGCTTCTAGAGGAAGGAGTATGCCAGGGCTTCTCCGATGTCTTGACTGTCTCTCTGTATAAAGAAAAAGAGTAAAATAAAACAGATTGTGGAAACTAGAAGGTCATCTCTCTCTAATCCATAATCAAAAGGGTCTTGGCAGGAGTCATTCTTAACCCTAGAACACTAACCATCAATTAAAGTTACACCCCGAGTAAGCATTGGTATATCATACCCGATTTTGAAAATATCAAAAAAAAAAAAAAAATTTAATATATATCTTTATTTGAAATATTTTACATGCAGGCTCTTCAAACTTTGTACTTTGAGTGAACATTAATAGGAACTGAAAAACATTATTTTAGTAAGAAAATCAGGTACTGAAAATTGTAATTAAAAATAGGAAAATTTGCGCTAGGTATATTATAACCATGGTTAGTGTTTTTGGGTTAATAGTTTCATCAAATACTTCGCCAAACTGAATCCTTCCGAGGTACAATATGGCTTCAAACCGAGCAAACCGGTTTGGTATATGCAGGTCGTCTGAAGTAATGGAAAGTAAACCTCAGTAACCCTCCCAGCTCTGAGCAAATAGGAGGACAGACCGCGTCCTATAGTCTGGGGGGGGGGACGGTCTAAAAGGAAACTCTGATTTCAGAACATGAGCAGGATTGTTTGGAAACTTTTTGGCACACTATGTCCAATTATGTTTGTTGCTTCCGAAAAGTGTGGTAGTTTCATTGACATAGTAGGGCTTATACAAAACGATTTTAACCTATTCTCTTTCTATCTGGATAACTCAAATTGTTTTTACAGTGATTCCTACAATAAATGGTATCAAGATGGCTAAACGTCATATCTGAAAACATGGAAAAAAGTAACTCAATTAGTTTAGTGGTTTTTAGATATCAAACATTTTGTGGAATGGACAATTATCGCATTCTGTGATACGATTTGGACAATTTTCTGTTATCACGATGTGGAATATTTAAATGTGGGATATTTAAAAACAAAGATGATGGAAGGAATATAGATGAATTTGGCTAGATTGCAAAAACCTCTTTCAAAAAATTATTTCAAAATTTTGAAACTACCAGCATTTATTGTTCATGTCACAACAACATCTACAAACCCAGTCCGATGAAGTCCTAACGGTTGAAACCCGTCACAAATAAACTTATTCCATATATATATATATATATATATATATATATATATATATATATATATATATATATATATATATATATATGTGTGTGTGTGTGTGTATGTGTATATATATATATATATATATATATATATATATTTATATATAATTTAATTTAATTGAAAAACAGACCACTTTAAAGGCTTCATTGTAATAATTTATTTCACCAGAGAATTTTATGTTTCTCTGGATCTTCAGACTTCACTTTCAAAGGTGAAACGAAAAATGAATTTAAAATTTACACTTTTGACGACGTGCAGTATTAAGTTTATATATTTTGAATTAGAGGGTGATGAGGAATGGTGAGAGAGACATGATCGAGTTTAGAGAGGGAAGGGGGAGTTTAAAATTTATCTTTATATTTCTTTTTATTACAATAGTTAATATTGAGGAAGGAGGGGGTAAGAATCAGATATTGACCTATTTAATCGGTCAACCTAACGGAAATGATATGAGAATTTAATTCAAAGTGAGATTATCACCAGATGAGTAAAATTTCTAATCTTTCAAGTCTAATTAGAAATTATTTCAAGAGAAAGTAAGATTAACAGGTAATAAAACTTTTCTCCTTCAATCATAACTATATACATAAACAAACATCCATGTATATATATATATATTCATACAACGATATATATATATATATATATATATATATATATATATATATATATATATATATATATATATAGTAGTTGGCCACTGTATTCGGGGATACCTGTCTACCAGGGCGACTAGCCAATCCCTATTGCAGACTATCGCTCAGGCACATTTGTGTTTGTTCAACACCCACAGAGTCCACCTGTGGTTCATAATGCAACTATGCTGAACAGACATTAGTTACAGTTTCTTTGAAAGAGCCTGTTATCTAAAATGATCAATAATCTAAACAAAACCAGCATACTCAAACTCTCGTTCTATCGACGGCTCCCAATGTTTTCTCTCTACCCAATTTGACACATAAGGCTTGGGTCAACCCGTGTTATGGTTTTCAGACACTTTCTAAAGCTGCAGCACGCTGGGAGCATATATATATATATATATATATATATATATATATATACAAGTATATGATTGGTGTATACGGAATGAATTCCAATAACCAACAATTACTATTTGATACTTATTGGTTAGAATAAATTCTCTTTTAGTATAATCCCAACTTTAAAGCTC